AATCACCCATTGCTGTCGCTGTCAGTGACATCTACCGAATAAATTGCTAAAGTTTTCGCAAACTTCGTCATAGGCCGTATCTTTGCTCGCGCTTCCTCGACGAATCGGCCGAAGACTCCGCAAGTAGATATGTACGAGAGAATCTACCGCAGAGTATGGGAAAAGGTGCCTGAAATGACGTGGGCGAATAACACGGTAAAACGTATGCCGTCTCAGGCACTTTTCCCCTTGTACTTTTTTAATTAAAAAAAAAAAAAAAATTTTTTGAAAATCGTCAACCGGCACAACACATTCGGATTAACGTGCTTCGTCTACTGGAACACGAAGAAAAATTTGTATTTCTCGTGTGAATTACACGAAACAAATGGAGCGCGATATACGTGCTTTCGAGGGATTAAAATAAAATATTTGAAACCAGGGGCGTACCAAATATACGGCATGTGTGTAGGTCTACTAATGCCGTTAAATTCTAACCTGATATGCGAGCGACACCTTTTTATCGTGCTGTGTACATTTCTAGATAAGGGTTGATGGTTACGGTCGTCGGTTCGGGATGAGATAGCATGAAAAAAAAAAGAAGAAAGAAAGAAAAAAAAAATGAAAAACCAACGAAACGGGACATGGCAAAGTAACTTTTTACGACTAGGTGAGGCTGCATATTAACTTAGTTCGGAGTAATTTTTTATGTATACGTTGAAACAACTTGGATCCTGCGATACGCAGGCGTTAGCGTTAATTAATGAATTAGCACGTCGTCAACTTTCCTTAACGAGTAATGTAGGGCATTGGGTTGCGCAACGTGGGAGAAACAAAAATTGAAAATTTTCCAAATTTCCTTATAGCACGCGAGCGGGCGCTTATCGAGAATAATAAAATTTCATTTGACGCGCACGTATCGACGCGGCCGACGTACTGATAGCGCGAAACGCAATTGTCCGCGATGCGACGAGGTGCGTACGCGTGAAAATCAATGTGACCGATGAATTATTCAAAGGACGCCTACGTCACGTACCAAAGTCATAGGCTACGCGAAGCGCAACGATGAAAAGAGCATGAACAAAAAAAAAAGAAAAAAAACTCATGGAAAATGCGAGTAAATGAATGTAAATCAGGAAACACGAGTCAAGGCAGCCAGAACTAACTTCAAGAAAACGAAGGGTGAAGAGAGTGGAGTCAGAAAAAAAAAGGGGCGCATAAATTACGCCCAACAGCATCCACACTACTAAACCTAAATTATTAGCGTACACATTAATATGTAATACTTGGATAAAATATTCGAAAACCAATTAGAAACCTTTAAAACTCACATAATGCATATAGGCAGAATATTATTCGATCCTCTAGTCATGCGTGTTAATGTCACTGTACGCAGATGTAAATACCCATGTGATGCATAAATATATATATATATATATATATATATACGTATATACTGCCTATAAATAATGCCTATGATTTAATTAACATTTAAATCATCTTTTTATATAGCACTGTTACTATGTAAATACCCATGTGATGCATAAATTTAGAAACCTTTAAAACTCACATAATGCATATAGGCAGAATATTATTCGATCCTCTAGTCATGCGTGTTAATGTCACTGTACGCAGATGTAAATACCCATGTGATGCATAAATATATATATATATATATATATATATACGTATATACTGCCTATAAATAATGCCTATGATTTAATTAACATTTAAATCATCTTTTTATATAGCACTGTTACTATACAGAAATATTCATGAGAAACGCGCCACCTCAAGTTAAGTGTGTCCATTTGATTTCTATGGTAGAGATCAACCTGGTGGTGTATTTCTCGTGAATATAACCCTTATACACGATCTCTAGTAATTCCTACCTAGTACAAATTTCGTTATGAAAATCCAGCACCCATCGACGTCCTGCGCCCTTACCGATCCGTCGTATACCTGAACAGGCTCTGGACTCACAGAAAAAGAGTTTCTTCCAGAACTGTCAGAGACGCTGATACACAAGAAGAATATCCAAAGGCGTGCATATAACGCGCAGCGTGCAACGACGAAGGATCGTTGAGATTCCGCGATGCCCGTGAAACTCGGTACTTTCGAGATGACGCGCACGAGCCATTGTTTCCTCGTGCTATATTTGTATTATCGATCAGCCGAGGTCGTCTGCAGAATAAATCGACGGTTAATACCGGCAGTCTGACCTTATTCGGTCTACATACGATTAGGTGCCTATCTACCCGGTGCAGTGCCGAGGGTGACTGCTCTCGGTCTTTTACCCAGATCCACAGTACCGTGCACCCTCTCTCGTGCAACCCTCTCTCTTATTCAGCCCCCTTTTCTCATCCTTCTGCACCTCATTCAACTTCACCCTTACTACACTAGTCAGTCTCTCCGTCTGTCTGTCTGTCTGTCTGTTCGAACGATGGTCCGACCTTCAGTCTCACTTCCGGGTGCCAGTATTGTACCACCCAAGGGCCCTTCGTAGTACACGCATTAGGCTCAGAGCGTAGTACACTTTTTTCGCTGATTCCGCCCCTGACCAACTGACACACATGAACTTGCGATGTAAGCAATATGCATTTTAGGAGCGACAATTTTCCTGACTATGAAAAAAAGACCATTAAAAATAAGTTATAAATTTGAAAATGGGATCGTATAAGATTTTGAGCTTTTGAAATTTTTTTTTCAAATTTTTCATTTTGATCAAGTACAATATTTAGTTGAATTTAATTTCACGAGTATTGACTTACCGCGGGTCACCTTAAAGTAGGGACGTAACGTTAAGTAACATTTATCCTCTCGCTTGATCTGCATAGTACGACGGTATGCGAAGTGAGCTAGCAGCAATATACTAGTCGAACGAGACCTTTTCTTTTTTGCGAGTAGGAAGAATTTTGAAAACAATGGAACGGTACACGTGTAGTCTGTGCAAACGGACGAAAGAAGGGAAGAAGAGAGAGAGAGAGAGAGAGAGAGAGAGAGAGAGAGAGAGAGAGAGAGATAGAGAGAGGTTTTGCCGCCTGCCAGACAAATTACTTAATCCTCTTTGTTTACGCGGCCATTATCAATCTCCATTTGAACAGGAGTTAAACCGTTTTTGGACAAACCGCGGGACCCCCCGCGAAACGATAACCTCAATAATGTAGGGATTAATTTGCTGCATATAAAAGCTTTATAAATTTAGTCCATAAATGAATGGGGCTGCTGAAGGAGCGAAATGAATGAAATCTCGGGTAGGTAAATGGAATGAATGCCGTGTAAAGGAAAGGGAATGGGGATAAGAGGGTTGGCGTGTAAGGGATACAACAACGCCGTATTGCCGTCAGGGTGAATGGCACTATACCTATAGCCGTGGCAGCGGTACGACTACCCTACTACTACCTCTGACCTCTACCCCTGAGGCAACCGGCGAAAAATTACGGCGTAACTTTCATACTTCACTTTTACCGTCTTGCTTAATTACATTCGTTAAGAATTTCCTGTGCGGTTTGAGCGCCAATTAAAAAGGTACGTGGATACGACCCAGACTCGCTGAAAAATTATATTACGGATGTCGTAACATCCGTATATACATATATACATATACGTAAATTTGTTGCTAAGGGATACTTTGGGGAAGATTTCATTTACGAAGTCGCTATTTTGAGGACCGTCGTCAAAGATTTTCCAGTGTAATGATTGTTTTGAGGACCATAAAGCGGATTGTCACACCAAATTTCTTTATATTTTTTTAACGTTAGACATCCATTATCTGTGATGGGCTTAAAAATGTTTTGTTAGGTTAGATTAGGTCAGAACTTCAATGCTGCGATGTCTCAAGGTAGTACTTCTTTTATATATATATAAAAAAAAAACATTAGCTTACAATTGTGAACACCCCTTAATTTTTCGTACCCCCAAAGTATCTCTTTGGCAAACGTATATATATATACACGTTGTCTGATTTACCAATGAAAAAAAAAAATTACTATAAATATTTCTCAAAAATCTATCAACTGCTTATCCACTAGGATGGTAGCTCATCTTCTAGGGTGAACATTGAAGACGATAATAAATTTTTTCCAAATTTCTCACAGTCATGATCATACAAAGACCGATAAATTGTCACTAAACTGTAAAAGTGTCTAACCACGATACTATACATATAGGGTGGTACGTAAACAAGCGTGTAAATTTTCGTTAACCATAATTACATAAATAATGCCTGCGAAAGATTATTATAACTAGAAAATTGCATGGCCACGCAAAAATGAGGAATATCGCAGGCTACGTGACAGTAACGGGACACCAAGTGTATCGTGCGAGGTTTATGTCGCGTATAAGAGGACTGAACGTTCAGTCACAGTAGTACATACAAGCCCAGCCTGGAGATCTTCGTGCGCGTAAGAAATACCTCGGAATTTTAATGATGCACGAGAAAGAAAAAAAATGGAATCTCGACGCAAAGTACCCACAGGTCCCCGACACTGAGGCATCGGGACAGCATGACACGTTACGGGTACGGCGAGTATGCGCATTAATTTATATGTATGTAAAATCCACGTTACGTGGTTAAAAAAAAAAAAAGATCAAAATTACGGTCCAATACACCTGTCGCTCAAGCGTCGTTCCAGCATCAAGGTAAATTCATCCCCCGGTGCGGACGACCTCGTCATCGAAGATCGATGCCCTAAGTAAATGAATTACCGAAATACCGTAACGCACCAGGACCGTCGGACGATTCCTATATTTACCGGCACTGAAGCCCCAGGCGATTTTGGGCGCCCCCCTCCAAAAAAAATGTCCACCCCCTCGTACCAGACTTGGAAAGGGGACGGGGGAGAGATAGGAGGGGAAGTCTTTGGGAAGTCCCTTTCGATCGCTACCCCTGGTTTCGGCTCTGGCGCTATCGGCACTGGAGAAGGAATGAGAAGCAGGGGTGGATCAAGGACGCAGCAGGGATAGATAGGGGTGGAACGGAGCGGGGTACCTAAACAGTAAGTATTGTAGTAAAAGTGACTCACCGTTCGCGAGGGGTAGAAGCGCCACAGCCAGTAGCAGCAGAAGCAACGATGACGGGGTGGACCTCCCTTTCCGACACGGCAGTCCCTGCATCCTGTAACATTCACACATACGTTTAACCCACGCACGTTATTGCACACACGGATGCGGGGGATGAGATGTGATAAATTTAAAAAAAAAAACCACTCCCACCCCCTTTGTCACCCAAAAGACGAAGAGTCCAAAGCAAAGTGGTAGCTCGACGAAACGCCCACGCTTTCGCGAAATCGACCCACGGCTGTATGACACAACGGGAATTTCAGTGTCACACGTTGTTCGTGGAATGTCCTGTTACAATACATGTGGATATAAGCTTTTGGAAAAAATTTTATCGTGTAGGTTGGATGACAAAGACGTGTACGTCAAAACTAAATATATCCGTATATGAGGTACCAGCCTATGTAAATGGTGTAATCACGTGAGCCGTGATATAGCAGCTTTTAATTTTATAAGGTAATATTAAAATTGAGCTGTGCGCAGTTTCACTGGAGATTTGTTAATGCGTACTTTTAAAATGGGTTTTATTAAAATTTTCTTACGTTCAATTATGTTCTCGCGTTGAGTTTCCTATGATTCGAAGTGAATGTTTTATCCAGAAAAATGTGTTATAAAAAAGAAATATATGAAAAATAAAAATCCAGGATATAATAGCGTGTCCAGTCGGTGATTGTATTTCCCCAACGAAATCGTACAGCGTGAAATCCAAAGATTCGGATTGACGTTACCGACAAGGGTGATTTGACCATATTCCCCCAATCGCGCAAAGCAATTTCTCCTCGATACGCTGATCTGCCCTTGGTGCTTCTGGACCATACGTAAAGCAGAAATTCGCAAGGTTACGCAGCTACAAGGATTTTCGATGGCGACGAGGGTCGCGAATTCGGCCAACATATAAATTGAACGAATTCTCAGGAGAGGGTCAGGATCATCAAAGATCAGAGAGGCAATTTGAATGTCCCGCCTTATGAATTTCTTTGCATGACGTCGACTTTCTTTTACTCCCACGGGTATACGGATTTACTTTTTATTGCGATACAGGGACAGCCAATGTATCAAAATTAACCGCAGCGTGTTCGACGTCCTGACGTATAAATTTCCCTCAAAGATACAGAATTATCGAAACTCGATAAATACGGCGCTACACGACGTATTACGTAAGTTTGATGTATTTCGATTTTTTAAATTTCATATTGCTTGCAAAACGCACTTTGTCGATTATATTCCAATTGTTTCAATAATTTGACTGCAATTCCAACTGCTGTGTAGATAGGCCGGTAAAACAGATTTTCTAAAAAATCAAAATTATACCAAATTTTCAGATTCGATTTACAAAGAATTGCAAGATCACTCTTACGCATTGTATCTTCTTTTCATTTCGCCTTAGTGGTAATACCTTGCACAGGGTCAAGTGCTATTTCGTTCGTCATATGGAGCCAGCCAGTTCAAACTTTCCACCTGAAGTTGGCTCTATCGCTGGAATCAACTGGACTCTCGGCTAACTTCAAACGAGGTCAATAGCCTAGTACCCATATTTACCCGCATTCTGGACATAATGCCGTATGATAGATCGCACGCGAAAAAAAAAGTATGGTCCCAGTTACCAAAGATATAATTAGTATTTGGACAAAAACAAATACTAGTACCAAACAACAACAATTCCATTAAGGTATAAAATTACGATTGCAATTCTACTATATGATTCTTACTAGAATTTTGTTCATATTCAAATACAAATCCTTTCTTCAACCCACTCGAATTATACGGTTCATATAGTACGGCGGCATATTGATACTGGTACTGATAATAGCAAAAAAAAAGTTACAAAATATTTAAAAAAAATTGGTATCGGTGCAACAACGTCATTGATCATTCGTCGGATCGCCAGTTCGTAACGAACGCGCCAGCAGCGTTATTAAACGTCGCTGGTCCGTTACAACATGATTAATTAAACGATAGCCGTTAGTTGAAGCAACTATAATTCGCTTAACTACGCAGTTTCGTGACTCCGTTGAAAAGTTGTAAGCTGGTACGAGGAAAATGATTTTCCTTACTCGCTGCAAGTGTGGGCTGTTGCTCTCTTTAACAGTTTCACTTTTTATTCCTCCTAAAACCCTTACAATGATTGACACCCTTTGCCCAGTTACGATCACTTCATTTTTCCTATAAATTATCTTACTAATGAATAATCAATTGACAGTGGTTCTACCGAAAGTGATGTAAACAAATTTTTTTTTTTATAAAATACTCTACCGTTCATAAAGTAGCATAAGATCAGGCAGCCGATATCTTTGCCGCAGATCTTTGTTAAAATTGTAATCTGTAAGAAATCCAATGTGACAATGACAAAAATTCAGTATTACTATTATTATCAGACAGCTGGACGTACTAATGGTGTAAGGCTATAGTGAAAAAGGGTAATAAAAACAAAAATGTAATAATGGCCACCTGATTGCGATAAAATTTCCAGCTGCCTACTCCATTAGATAGTATACATTAGAATGTAAAAAATAACTGTCATTTTTCATACGAACAATAATTTTTGACAACGCAATTAGATTCGTGCTCGTTAGTACCCTATACATATGCAAAGATAAGCAAAAGTTCAAAATTTTAGCCACGGTACGACCTTACCTGTCGTCTGTCTCGGCCACTCGCGATGCTCGTACGAGCCCGAATTTACGCATTAGGACTGTGACCGATGGGTACACAGAACGCCACGCCATCGAGCACCTCTGGTCGCGCCCGTAAATAAACGCCATCCCTTTCAGTCCCAAGTGAAGCCAACGACAGAGGTTGCACTATATCTATATTTTAGTTGAGCAAAGCCACGTGCAAATTAACCATTCGAACAGCAGCTAAAGACAATCGCCAAGTAAAAGTATTCTCGTATCTCCGACGAAGTTCAAAAGGATATGGAAACACGACGGGGATCGATACGCTAAAAATCAAACGGTTTAATACGTATACGCGTATACCCTATAGAGTGCACGTTGCTCGCGCGTATCGAATCGGAACGAAGCGCATCGGGTTTAATGAAATTTCGCGAACGAATTCAAGGAGGCGCGCAGGCGCAAAGCAAAGCGTACTGTGTCAAGTTCTCGTACAGGTGGTACAACGAGACTGTTGACGTTGCCGCAGCTGTTACTATTGTTCGCATCGAATCTATCGGATATTACAGCATCCAATGAATCCAGCACATCTCGAGTTTTCTCAAAATGACCAAGTGTATTTATCCGCGCCTCGTTTCTTTCGAAAATCCATATGTGGTCGAGTCCTCCATGAAATTCTGACGCGTACTGTATTGACAATATATTAATTATTATTATCGCTCGTCTAATCACTGATTACGATCAGTCGCCTTTGACAGGCACGCACGTATCTTCGAAATCGGTATCACCTCGTAAACAGGTACCCAAGTACCACAATTTTCAATATGTTTTGCGTAACTAATAATTACTTATGTGTAATTTGAACGCCCGCATGAATTAATTCGCCCAAAGCCATCTTCGGTACCCGCGAAAGCTTTTACACGTACGATAGGTGCCTGGTATAAAAAATAAACCCTCATTGTTCTTCGTACAAAAATACCTTAACCATACGAGAGAGCCAAGAACATATCGCTGTTATAATCGTCATCGGACAATGAAATAAAAATCATTAAATTATTTTAAGCTTTTAAAGCCTTATTAACATACAACGGTAACACAGCTGTTATCGTTATCAGTATCCTTACGAATATACGTATCGACTAATACTAGTAATTGCGTATAGTCACAATAGAAGTAAAAAAAAAATTTATTTAATCCAGCCGAGATCACGAAGCTGAATGGACCAATCGGACACTTTGAAAAAATGACGAAATTCGCAGAAATAACACATCACGCAGCTCGTGACTGCGTGGATCGCTCTAAAGACTCGGTTTGAACGATTTAAAGAAAATCCAAGTATAATTGATCCCTCCCAACAGAACTCTGCTATAACTCCGAATGATGCCCAAGACATTGTCTCCTCTTCGCAATAGTGAAACTTTCGCCAAGATAAGCACCGATTGCCCGACTCTCGTCGTAACCGCGTTACGATTATTCAGGAGTATCGCACCAACCGAAGATCGATCCGTCCATTTGATCTCCACAATGGAATCACCTTGCGGACAATGAAGTTCTCGTAGAAACAGTGAAGATAGAAATAAAATAAATCTGCCGTAAGAGCAGCAAGTGGTGTCTCTTTTATTTTTTCATATCCCCCTTTCTTACATTCTCATTCTTTTGCTCTCTCTCTCCCCGTCACCCGCAGTTCAGCTGTTGGTACCAGCTCCCCGCCCCCCCTCCCACCCCTACTCACCACTGCCCCTTACGCCTCGATTCCTTTGTGGCCCGCTGTCACACGATATATTAGATCGAACGATATTTGGCAAGCATCGACTATTTTGGGGGGGGGCGAAATTGAAGAGCCTCGGGTCTCGTTGCTCAGTAGCGTGATCGAGCATACAGCAGCAGCACACTTCGGACTGCGCCAGAAGGACGGGGCAAAGGAGAGAGTGAGAGAGTAGCAGAAAAAGCCGTGTCCCGCCCAGTAGACGCACGAACGTCGCACGCGACGAGATCGTAGAGGCACGTATGTATGTACGTGTATATGTATATATATTATATATATGAAACGGTCGTTGAACGTGCAGAGTGGAAGCCGGTCTACTGCACCTACGAGACGTGAATGCAGTAGCAATAAAGCGGAATTCCACGGTCTGTTGACTTAAGACGAAAATTAAAGGCTTAATATCTGTCATTGTGGTCGCACACCCCGTGACTTAGCCTGGGGGCAGCGGGTCGCGTTCGACGGAGTATACAAACCGTAGAGAAGCTGAGGGCTCGAGGGGTTCGACGTGGCAAACTGTCAAATGACATATGATAGTTGGATCCAAGGGGTGAACTGTCGGAAGACATTGCCGGCAGGGTTGCTCGAGGCAGTCCGGCCGAGTCTTCGTGAACGAAACCCGGCAGCCACTGGCTATTTGTCAGATAAAATGATTTCCTTTGGGTTTGCTCTCGGCGGCTACGC